CTTAAGTCGAGCTTTATCCGGTACATCTATTTCTTTTGAAAAAGTGAGCTCTTGTTCTAGAGCACTGAAACGGACAATATGACCAGAAAAAATTATTATGACCCCAGAATTGACATCAGCTTTGGACAGATCAAATATCTCCAGCAGGAATGCTACTTATATTTTAGTTGCTGCCGCGAAAAGTTTGGGTCATGATCCTACAAAAATAAATATTAGCCATAGAGTGATACATAGAGAACGTATTAAAATGAGAAAAATGATGGCAGCAGTTATTAAAGAAAATAGTTCAATTGTTGACAACAAATTACTCCCAGATTGTGGTGTAACGCATAAAGTTGACTATAGTCGAAGCGTTGAATCGATGGAATATTGTTAAAAATGGCAAAGGCTTGTGCTTTGACACTGCTTATGTTAATTCAGGTATTACACTTTTATGGAACTAAATGCATGCTTTAAGCACAAAGCCTAAGGCTACGCTAATTGTCATCTGTTAAATTTACTTATAGTATTTTCTGGTTATCATTATTAAATGATATTAATTCTTATTGAAGGTGATGAGAATGGAGCTGCTGTACAATTTGAGAGAGCCCTACAAACAAAAATACTTTGGTTTCCCTGTCGGCATCACATTTATGAGTTGGTTATGAAAAGTGTTGTTGAAGTTGTCTGGCATGTGTCTTCTGGTCCAAGTCCTGCAGTTTTTAACCGGTTCAAACAAGAATGGACCACGATTGATCAGACAAATTATGAAACGGGAATGGATGACCAATATGTAAAGAAAATTCTCAATCATAAAAAACAAGACATTTTGATATTTTACTTCAAATGGAGGTATATTGGAACGAATAATTATCATTATTTTATTTTCATAAAGAAATTGTTATCATTAAATTAATATAAAAATAATTTCAGGAGTTTCAACCAAGAGGAGATTTTAAAGAACTTCTAAATTTAACCTGTATTTTCTTGGAAGAAATTCCACCTCAAGGTATTTCTTTTAAAACCCCCGGAGCACACCATCATGCTCGATGGTTAGCGAAGACAATTTATTGTTTAAAATTTAAAAAACAATTCAAACTTTTTAAAGTTGAATCATCCAAATTAACTGAAATTTGTATTTTTATTGTGGACATATATATAAAGGGATGGTATAGTGCACCAAGCAGTGTTCAAGCACCGTATCAAGATTTTATGTTTTTGAATAGCTTGTTGGATTTTAAACACATAAACGCTAAATTTTCTAATGCTGCGTGTACCAAATTTCTTAGACATCTTTGGTACTTGTCTGAAGATCTTGCAGCCTTATCTTTTTTTGATGAAAGAATCCCAACCGATGTTAAATCAAAAATGGCAAAAGCAATAAAATGTCAGCAAAGTACTACTGATAACACAAGAAAGTTATATATGGAACAAAAAGATTTAAAATCATTTTTCAATAAAAATATGAGTAACTTTATAACTGAAAAGTCGATGATTTTATTTGAAAAGTTCAATCTACCTTCTAGTTTTCTTCTTTTCTCTATAAATCAATGGGAAGCTGATAAAACATACCAGGATTCTTTGAAAATAATTCGAGCAATTAAGGTTGTGAATGACATTGCTGAAAGAGCACTTATTGATAAATATAATGAAGGTCTTACTTACGATGAAGAACATAGACAGTTTTTATTACAAGTTGTAGCTGATCATCGTAAAAAATATCCAGATTGTAGTAAACAAAATTTACGTTCGTAATACGTTCTCTTGAATAAAAAAAATGTATAAAAATGAAAAACTGATATTTTAATCATAAGAAGCACTTATTAAATTTATTTATATTCAAAATAAAAATAGGCATGTTTTAAAAAACCAGTCAAATTTCACTGATATTCCAGTAGATTTTACTTGTTGTACACAGCCTTGGATCTACGATTTTTCCAAATCGGGGCAAGAACTTGACTTTGGCGACCCTTTCCTCCGGCATTTGAGTTTAAAGATTTAAAACAATTGAATTTGGCGCCCCCTTGAGTTTGTACATTGAAATCTCACTAAATAGCCAAGTGAGCCCTTTATTAACTGGTTTACAAGCGAATTTCACTGATTAAATTAGTAAATATTAATGGTGAAATGGTAAGTAAAATAAACTGGTTCAACCAGTGAACAACTTCAAATTTCACTGGTTCACCAGTGAATTTTTTACGCACCGACCGAATCAGTAAAATCCAACTGTTTAAGAAGTAAAAAATTGGAAATAAAAATTTCTGCCCGACCAGAATATTACTTTTCCATTTTAAATGAATTTTTCTAGGTAGGTAAGTATTTCTTTATAACAAACAATGTTTATTTTTATAGGCTAACTAAGAATTTCTTATAAATATATATTATTACGAAAATAGTTTATATTAATAGCTCAATGTTAGTTTACCTAATTGAACAGTGGATCATAAAGCTTTAAATAAAAATTTAAATCAATAAGTTTTTTTTATAAAATAATTGTTTTATATTTGTTAAACATTAAATATAAATATAAATTTTTTAAAAAATTAGCTCGTTTTAGCTTCAAAAAAAACGTGGGGAATTTTTTTAATTCGGTTAAAGGTCATCTTTGTAGGGTATTTAATTCTCTTTTTGACACAATTTTTCGTTATGATGTACAACCTAATTTTCCTATGGGACATAAGAAAAAAATATTCGTTTTATTTGGCACAGTCTAATGTATATATATATATATATATATATATATATATATATATAAAGTTTGCAGTCTCAGGTTAAGAGAATTAAAGTGATTTTACATAAAAAATAATATAAATATGGCATATGATATTTTTTTGTATTTTATTTGAAAATATTTGAAATTTTTTATTAGTGTTATTTTTGATCGCTGATATCTTTGAAACGGTTCATCTGAAGAACTTTGACCTTCAGATGTTTTTTGTAGATCGTGAAATTGTCTATAACTCCTCTCGCTTGGGTGTTGTGAAAATTAACCATTCCAAAGTTATAAGAATTCAAAATTAAAAAAATAAAAATTCCCGTGTTATTGAAATGGAAAAACAACAAATGAATTGAGGCAAACCTTAATATTAATATTAAGGGCTCAAATAGGCGCCAACATTTTTGTTTTTTAATGTACTATTAATTTTTCAACACCATTAGAAAAAAATTGTTTTTTTAAATACCCTAATATATATATATATATATATATTTCCACGTCTAACTCGCTGACGGTGGACTAGTGGTTAGTGCTGCTGACTACAAGCCGGAGGTCGTGGGTTTAAATCCCACCAGGGGTATGGCTGTTTATTTGTGTTTGTCCTATTGTGTAATAGTCCTTCGGAGGGGACTTTAAGCCCGCGGTCCGTTCCTACCCCTAACCCGCTCAACCCATTCAGTTGGCTTCTGGGACTTCTTAGGAAGTAAGGGTGGAACTAAAAGAGCACTTTTATATATAAACTCGCAGGAGAGCAGCAACAGCAGCCTAGCAGATAAGACCTGAAGATGGTACATGAGATTATACCGAAACGTCGTCAGACATACGGTTCTTTTAAGAACCAAAAACCGACAACACTGCTGTTGCTGCTCTGCTGCGAGTTAGACGTGGATTGAACTCTGTTGCCGCTGATCTTTTTATATACCCTCTTAGCTTTCCGCGTCATTAACCGTGACTGCGTTTGAACCTGTGTTATGTTCGGCTCCATTGATCTCGTTAATCTGCGTGGCGTTTTGGTGGTTATAAGAGCTGGTTTCCATGCAGTTGGTAGTCTTTGTGTATCGTCTCTTGTGTTGAGGTTTTTTGGACGTTTTTCTATTTCAATGGCTTCACGGATGGTACGTTTGGTCCTGGGTTCGATGCTAGCCAAGCTTCCGTCACAATTCTTACAAGGACTTTTGTAAACTCCTTGTGCCTCCAACTCTAAACGCCAAACCAAAAATAGAGTTGAAGGCACAAGGAAAGATTTTTTTTTAAGCGAGTTGAGAATCCTTTCTTTAGTATCTACGTCTGAATTTAATTAAAATCATTAAATGCGTTGGTGCGTTGGAACGTTACACATGTGTACAGGTTAAATACATTACAACAATAGGAGTATCATTCCCAGTATTGACGTATAATTTTGAGATAATAAAAATGTTACTTGTAGAAAAAAAAAATGTCTCATTACATTATTTGTTAAAGACTACAGACAACTTTGAACGCTTTTTGTTGGAACGTTACATCGATATATTTGTTAAAGACTACAAACAACTTTGAACGCTTTTTGTTGAAATGTTACATCGATAATTATCGATCGATTATAATCAACGGTTGCTGAAACCATCATAGCTTGAGTCTTGTTTTTAAGAACTTTAATAAACATTTATATTGCACTGAAATATCTGTATCTGTAAGTGCGCACCCACCATATAAAATATATGGTGCCTAAATTAATCTAATTTCTCTTAATGTTTTGTGTAAGACCAATGCAATTTTATGTAATAACTTATAAAAAGAAATGGCGGTATTGTCGTCTTTACATTCTTCAAAAAATTCCTTTAACCTTTGCAAAACTTCAAACACAAAATACTCTGGGATTTTTTGTGTATCTGTCAACGCTGATACGTTTGGGGGAGTAATCTAAATGCCACATTTTTTAAAGACGCTACCATTTTTTTCTTCGTTTTCGTAGACATTTTTTCATCAAAAAAGGAGAACGCCACAAGCTCCTCTGACAAGTACCACCGGTGATTTTAAAACTTGTTTATAGCCATGCTAGACAGTTTTTGGTTTGTGCTTCAAAAATATATTGAGATCCTTTAGGAGCTGCAAATCATTTTCTAGGTGCATAACATGCTAAAGGTGCTTAATTCCAATGAGTCAAATAAATATTAACAGTAAAAACGCATATTTCTCTTATACCGTTTTCTTCTTTGTCAATTTGAATTGGTTCCAATATAGAAACCCTTTATATATGACTTTTAGGAGTAGAACTATAATAATATTAGTATTGTTTAGTTTAATTAATAACATTTGCCTTTTTTAGAGACTGTTTGCCAATAGAGACTATGTCTATAATCGACGTTACTTAGTGGACGAAAGTACATCTACTTTAGTTATTCTTAGTAAGAGTACTGTACATTCTAAATATCCGAAAAGGACCGACACATACCGCGTAGAGGACTATTGGTCTAGAATGGTTATCAAACCGTATACAGAAATCGACAAACCAGGTGTGGAGTTTTGTTTAACCTACTACGATAATCCAGGTGTAAATATTCCGTCGTCAGTTACGAATTGGGTGGCTATGAGGGCAATGCCGGATTTTTTGGATAGGTTACGGGAGGCAACACGAAATTATAAAGAATATTGCATAAAGGAAGGCATTAGTGAAGCATGCAAAATTATTAAAGAGCGCATTATAGAAGATACCGAGTTTTTAGATTTTTGTTCGTGTAATCAGGAACCCATTATTTTAAGCAAAAAGTTAAATGGTATAAGGAAAAAAAAGAAAAATAGGAAAACCTCAGATTCAATATTAAATACACAGGAGGGTATGGAATCACCTGCTGCCACTTCAAACCAAGCTGATAGTTACTGGAAATATCTACATCCATATTACTATTTTCATTAACTATATACGCCAAACATCAAGACTGTTAACTAAAAATCATTAAACTTTTGATTTATTATTATATTGTTTTTTTTATACTTAAACGTCATACAAAATTGATAAATAGATCGTACTTATAAGGTAAGATAAAAAAGGGCAGCATATCTACATCATTTCCCTGCTGAAAAAGACGGGTTATATTGGATGATTGCGGATAAAAAACCAAGCAGTCCATGTCCATTTAAATCTGTTTTCATCCGACCTATCTGATTTTACCCGGAATGTCGGTTTTCTTCTGCAATTGCGGGTATATATATATTAACCGCGAACGTCGGGTTTCTATATATTTAGTTCCATGTCTGCTTTCGTCATCCGCATATTTAGGTTTATATCTGCATTCACCTGGTTTTATCTGAAAATACCTGCTTTCGTCTGTTTTTACCCGGTTTTATCTGCGTTTGCCTTCATTTACTTCATTGCCTGCTTACGTCCGGTTTTATCCGCGATTATCTGATTTTATCCGGTTTCATTTGCAAACATCTGCTTTCATCTGCGAACGTCTGATTTAATCCGCAAACATCTATTTTAATCCGCAAATGTCTGCTCATCCGATTTTACCTGCAAACATCTGCTTTTATACGCGAAGATCTGCTTTTATCTGTAAATGTCTGCTTTAATCCGCAAACATCTGCTTTAATCCGCAAACATATGCTTTTATCCGCAAACATCTGCTTTTAGCCGCGAAGATCTGCTTTTTCTGTGAACGTCTGCTTTAATTCGCAAACATATGCTTTGCGGATGAACCCAGATAAAAAAATGCAGGTAATGCAGGTAATCGCGAATAAAACCAGATGAACCCGGACAAATGCAGATATTAACGAAATTCAGTAGAGCCGGTCAAAAGCAGAGGATTGCGGGGATGCCCTAACCGGATGAAATCAGGCGTTCGCGGATAAAAGCATATTTTTTGCGGGTGAAACCGTATAAAGCAGACGTTCGCTGTTAAAACCATATGTTTGTGGATAAATGCAGATCTTCTCGGGTGATTACAGATGTTCGCGGATAAAAGCAGACATTTGCGGATAAAAGCAGATGTTTGTGAAATTGGACTAGGCAGGCGTTTGCGGGTAAAAGCAGATGCTCGCGGATAAAACCAGACGTTTGCAGATGAAACTGGACAAAAATCGCAGATAAAACCAGACGTAAGCAGACGTTTGCAGATGATCCCGGACAAATGCAGTAAAGCAGGTCAAAAGATAATTACGGGGGTGCTCTAACCGGATAAAATCAGGCGTTCGCAGATAAAAGCATATGTTTGCGGATGAAACCGTATGAAAGCAGATGTTCGCGGTTAAAATCAGATGTTTTCGTGTAAAACCGGATAAAACCAGACGTTTGCAGATGAAACCCGACAAAAATAGACGAAAAAAATGCAGGTAATTGCAGATAAAACCAGACGTAAGCAGATGTTTGTAGATGATCCCAGACAAATAAATATATAAACGAAACGCAGTAGAGCCGGCCAAAAGCAGTTAATTACGAATAAAAGCATATGTTTGCGGGTGAAATCCTATGAAAGCAGACGTTCGCGGGTAAAAGCATATGTTCGCAGAATCATTGCACATGTTCGCAGATAAAAGCAGATGTTTGCGGGTGAAATTGGACTAGGCAGGCGTTTGCGGGTAAAAGCAGATGCTGACGAATAAAACCAGACGTTTGCAGATGATCCCGGCAAAGCAGATATTGCGATGCAGATGGTATCAGATGATATTTTTACCCGCTTTTATCTGCTTTTATCCGCAATCATCCGTCATTTTCAGCAGGGTTGTAAAAAACTAGATACAGTCCATTTTTTTAATTGTTTTACATTGCGTCATTAATTTATAATGTCACAATGGTTCACAAATTGATGAGGAAATGTAAAACATTCAAAAAATAGACTGTAAGTCGAAAATCGTTTGTGTACAAAACGTAAAAGTCTTTTAAATTCGTTGCTATGTACGCAAAATACTTTTACATCCGTTGCTATGTACGCAAATAGTAGATTATGTCATAAGGAGTAGAAGTGGCTCTTTTTGTGGTGAGTACAGAGATTGACGGCCAAAGCGTAGCTGAGGCAGGCAACTGTACGAAGCACAAAAAGAGCTTCTATACCCTATTAAAAATGCCATATAGAAACACAAAATAAAAATCTATATGGTTCTATCTGGTTCAATATAGGAATTTGAAACAGGCATTGCACTATTGAACCAGATAGAATTCCATACCTGGAAAACCATATAGAAAAGTGATTTCTATATGGATTGCCATATAGGTTCAATAGGGTGAGCCAAAGAAACTAACCTATCGGATTTATGGGGTAAAATGAACCTACATACCGAGCAAAAAATTTCCCTGCAAGGCAAAATTTTTTGCTCAATTTTAAAAGGTGTCGGTGAGCATTCTAAGTTTTTCATTGAAATAACATGTAAAAAAATCTTTTTTCATTAAAAAGACTATAACTTTTGAACCGTTTGAGATCGCGGATTCTTGTAGAGCATAAAATTTCCCAAAGAATCTATACAAGGATTATTTTTTTTAATTCAAAAATTCGTATGTTTGAAAGCTTTAAAAAGTGTAAAAAATTACTACAACTGCAGTTTTAGTGATTTTTTACACTTTTCAAAGCTTTAAACATACGAATTTTTGAATTAAAAAAATAATCCTGGTATAGATTCTTTGGGATATTTTATGCTCTATAAGAATCCGCGACGTAAAAAAATTTATCTCAAACGGTTCAAAAGTTATAGTCTTTTTAATAAAAAAAGATTTTTTTACGTGTTATTTCAATGGAAAACTTAGAATGCTCACCGACACCTTTTAAAATTGAGCAAAAAATTTTGCCTTGCAGGACAATTTTTTGCTCGGTATGTAGGTTCATTTTAACCCATAAATCCGATAGGTTAGTTTTTTTGGCTCACCCTAAGGTTCATATTGCTCTATCTGGCCCAATATGGTTTGGGTGTGAAAAAATTATTACCATATAGATCCATATTTAACCATATAGGGGAATCTATATGGTTTAATATGCAATTTTCGTTTAAATATATATACATTTTAAAATGGAATTCCATATTCAACCATATAGGGAAACCTATATGGAAAAACACATAAAACAGAAACCAGATAAATCCATATAAAAATCCCTAAGTTGTACATTTTAAAATGAAATTCCATATTAAACCATATAGATTCCAAAGTGTAAACCAGGTCGTTCCATATAGGACATATAGAACCATATAAATCCATATTAGTTTCCTTATCTGGATCAATATGGGTTCTATAGGGCATTTTTTTTTCAAGGGCGTAATATAAATAGGATAAGCAATAGAATTATTTTATTTACTTATAACTCATGTGGTATAAAATTTTGGCTAAAAGCATTACAAATTATTGATAAAAAGTAAAAAAACTTATAACCCTTACTTACATTGCCGATAAATATCCTAAACCATAGATAACAAAGCCTAAACTAAAAATAAACACTGCTCTGTCAAAATGCTGCGCTTGAATTAATTTTGACGTACTGACATTTGTTTGGAGTTCCGACATTGGCGACTCGTCTATCATCATTATATTATACTAATAAACTAGTTGTTCTTTATATATCTTTAAATATTCCGTGCGATTATAATTAATATAATTATAATACATCGTGATTGCTTTGTATGAAATGCTAAATTAATTTTATTATTTGACGTCTATTGAGTCACCTATGGATTTACTTCTATCCCTAGGCTTTTTTGAGTTTTTTGTCTGCCGCTAATGAAAAAGACGTACTTCAACTATCTCTATACATGCATATAACGTTGTATATCATGGCCGCTTGAAAAAAATACGTTTATCTACTCCACCATTGATAAGCTGCGACTTTTTGGCGTTTTAGTCACGGGCTGAAGCTTTATTATTAATTGGGAAAAAGTGAGTTTAAATCCGTCATCCTTCAGTTGACAGATGTTTAACAGATAAAATTGGCTTTAAATTCTTATTTATGTTCGTCGTAGATAAAGTATAGTATGCAACTCGTTTTATAGACTTCTCTAGAAACTTGTGACATATCGATGACTTTTTGCCAAAGTATCGCAAGCAACATAACCCAAATTTCGGGAATTAAAAACATTTTGCTTGTCTGTTTTAAATTAAATATAGCCTAAAGGTTTTATAACAAGTAATTACTTAGCTTATAATTATAGCTATTTACTTGTTATAAAACATCCCTATTTATAACAAGTAATTACTTAGCTTATAATTATAGCTATTTACTTGTTATAAAACATCCCTATTGTAAATGACTAATAGAATCCAATAAAAATAAGTAATTGGTTTGAATTGGTTTGAAATGTGTTTTGGCGCTATGAATCACCAATTCATTCTAGTTGCATTCCTATTGGTAAGTTCCAATGAAGTCAGCGGCTTGGGTTGGAAAATACCAATCCATGCCTATGCTTCTCTATTGGCTAAATCCAATAGAAATGCATATGGAATGAATTGGTAATTCATATCGCCAAACCCATTCAAACCAATTAATATTTTTAAATTTGGATTAGAAAATACCTACCAGTTTATTTTTCATTCAAAAATAATTTTAGATCCAAGAAGGATAACCGGGTAAAAACCAGAATTCATTTTTCTCAGAAAAAATTTATTGTTACTGAGTAATTAGTCTTTCTTGCAAAGGATGTTTGTAGGCATGGTCGAAGTCGATATTGTTTATGTCAAAATTTTTATTTTGTCCGCTGTGGCAACCATTCTTACGCCATCGTTCCTAAACCTTACACATATAAACATTTTTTTTAAGATATAAGGACACTACTATCACTAGGCACTTAACACAGAAATCGACTAATAAAAAAACCGCTAATAAATGGCGTCCAAAGACTTCCCGGTCAACATTGTAACGTAACAGTGACCAAAATGTTATGTAATAATAATACTAATAATAATATAAACTTTATTGCTTAACAGTTTACACCAAAACAGGACATTCATATAATAAATCACAGAGGTTTA